TGGTAATCCTATATAATAAAAGTGAATATATATAAAAGCCAAGTGACTGGAACAACTGGTCTCTATGACACACACTGCAGCCCACCAACTGGCCCAAGCGGGTGCGTGTGTGTGTGGCCCCACCCTGCAGCCAGCCCCAGCAGGATTGGGGGCGGGGCCGGCCAGCCAACCTCCTTTGCCTCCCCCCTCCCCCCCCACCGCCAGCCGCCATCAGGACAGGCTGGCTGGACCCCACCTGTGCATGAATTTGTGCACCGGGCCTCTAGTAATATATAAATAGGCCTTCTGCAAATTAAGAGAAAAAGACCACATCCTGGCCACTGTGGCTCAGTTGGTTGGGCATCATCCGGTGCATCAGGAGGTTGCCGGTTTGATTCCTGGTCAAGTGCATATGCCCAGGTTGTGGGCTCCATTCTTGGTAGGGTGTGTGCAGGAGACAACGCATCCATGTTACACTCTCACACCGATGTTTCTCTCTCTCTCTCCCTCTCTCCCTAAAAATCAATAAAAACGCATTTTTAAAAATCCAGTAGAAAAATGGGCAAAGGCTAAGAATAGAGAATTTACAGGTGAAGAAATAAAAATAGTCATTAAATGTTTGAAAAGATACTCAACTTGTTATCAAAGAAATGCTAGTTTTTAGCCATAGCTGGTTTGGTTCAGTGAATAGTGCCTTGGCCCACAGACTGAAGGGTTCCAGGTTTGATTCCGATCAAGGGCACGTACCTCAGTTGCAGGCTCGATCCCCAGCCCTGGTTAGGGTGCATGTAAGAGGCAACCAATTGATGTGTATCTCTCACATTGATGTTGATGTTTTTCTCTGTCTCTCTCCCTCCGTTCCACTCTCTCTAAAAAAAAAAAAAACCAATGGAAAAATATCTTCAGTGAGGATTAACCAAAATAAAAAAGTACATATTTTTAAACATATGTACCATTAAATTGGTTGAAATAAAATATATATAATATTGCATAATTTGTGAGTGTAAGAAAATAGGTATGCTCTTTCACTGTGGATGGGAGTATTAAAATGGTACAGCCTCTTTCAGGTGTAAAGCTTAGTGATCAGGCAATCATATACCATACAATTAGATGCCTTTTTAGGAGATAAACAGGTACAAACACAAGCAGGACTAGACTTTGTGGTGCCTACTGTCCCCTTTGTTCACATGAGCATGAACAGTGACCAGTGTGAACTACACAGCAAAGGGCCTGTCTCTAATTCTGAACTGTGTATGTGTAAAATCACACATACAACTGCACAGAAGGAGGAGCATAGGATCCCTCCCAAAATAAATAAAAAAAAATAAAATGGTACAGCCTCAAGATCAAGAGTGAACTGTAATATGCACTATGGATTTTGGGTGATAATGATGTCTCAGTGTAGACTGATTAATTGTTACAAATGTACCACTTCATTGAAGGATGTTTGATAATGGGGGAAGCTCTGCATGTGTGGGGACAAGGGAGTGAATGAGTATAAGGGAAATCTCTACACCTTACATTCAGTTGTGCTGTGAAACTAAAACTGCTCTAAAAAATAAAGTCTATTGAAAAAAAAATTGCCATTATGGCTACTTAGAGTTGAGAAGAGATACGAATATTGGCTCCAATGAAAAGAAAGCACATAGAGATCTTGCCCTATTTTTTTGTTTTGAAAATGATACCTCTCTCTCTCTCACACACACATACACACACACATAAAAATGGATATTAGTGAACAGAGAAGTGTTTTTCACAAGGCCAAGTCTGTGGCTTTTCTCTTTCATATCTGGAAACTCCATGATCAACTTTTTCTAAACAAAGGAAATTCTGCCACTAGTTTCAAAATAATTATTTGTTCGCATCTATTATGTATATGATACACAGATATAAAGAAAAAAATAAAATTACTTCTGGGTGATGGGTTTAAGAATTCTTTTTCCTTCTATTAATTTATATTTTCCAGTTTTTCCATAATAAAAATTGATTGCTTTTACAATAAAAATTTTATATCTCATAAGAAAGGGTTCAGCCTTTTAGAAGGGAAACTGGACAGTATCTCAAAATTTAAATGGTGCATACTTTTTGACTTATCAGTTGCATACCAGATATCAAATGCTTGTTTCTTTATTTGCTTCTCAATAGTTTTAAAAATTATTTGCTATTCTTGCCCTAGCTGGTTTGGCTCAGTGGATAGTGTCAACCTGCGGACTGAAGGATCCGGGTTTGATTTTGGTCAAGGGCACATGCCTGGGTTGCAGGCTCAACCCCCAGTCAGGGGTGTGCAGGAGGCAGCCCATCAATGATTCTCTGTCATCATTGATGTTTCTATCTCGCTCTTCCTCTCCCTTCCTTTCTGAAATCAATAAAAATGTATTTTAAGAAAATTATTTGCCATTCTGCCCAGGCCAGGTGGCTCAGTTGGTTGGAGCATCATCCTGTACACCAAAACCTTGTGGGTTCGATTCCTGTTCAGGGCACATACATAGATTGCAGGTTCAATCCCCAGTCAGGGTGCATATGGTAGGCAACCGATCCATATTTCTCTCTCACATTTCTCTCTCTCTCTCTTCCTCTCTCAAAACATTAAAAGAACATAATCTCAGGTGAGGATTTTTAAAAAATTGCCATTCTGACACATGAAAAATGGCATTTCATCATAATTTTATTCACATTTCAAACATTCTAAAAATGTTTTCATTAGCTATTTGTATTATTTCTTTCATACATTATGGAGTTCTGGATATACCAGTACTTACCACTGTACTATGTCTTAAATCTATTTCTCTTCTTCAGATCCTACTGTCCCT